GGCGAATGCTTTAGTATTTACTAGATATAGTGTAGTCTGGTATATAAAAGAGGGTGACAACGTGACGGGAGAATAGTGTGTTTGTAGATAGTGAGTAATTGAACTGCAGTCACAGGGTATTGTTGAAGTTAACGTTCGTTCGTTATACTATTTGTTTTAGCGCGAATATTGAAATTAAGTGTATCGTAAAGTTATATTCGGAAAGAATAAACCAGTTTTATTAAGTAAAGACTTGTGTCATTAAAGTTTCGTCGGAACGAAGTTACGGAAAAATCAATTAACAAACGGAGACGTAACATATACATCATTATCTTGCCCTACAACATGAAAATGCCAATGAACTATGACATAAAAAAACTTGCTGTTGAATGGATGAATATCAAGAAACAAGATATGAATGATAATTTAAACTATTAAATACAAACCTAATTATTGACCTTTTGATCAATACAGATACATTCCATATTTAACAACTGTCTTGGCACTTAAATGTATGTTGGTACAGGTAATAAAACACGTGAATTCTGGAGGTTGTGCCCCCTCATCGGATATTAACATAGAAAAATTATCTCTATGGTATTTTCAATTAAAAACTAATTTCTCGACAAGTATCAAAGAGACGGACCTATTAATAACCAAATATTCGCTCGGGAAATAAGAGAGTAATTCTGAATCTGGTAGCTTGACGAGTCTTCCTAATGTGTGTGTGTGAAATAGTAAGATTGAACAAAGTTGGTAACAATGAAAAACCTTTAATATTGGATTGAGAAAAAAAAGAAAACGGAGTTTTCATACTTGCGCGGACAAGGTTACAGTCACTTGTATTAGAGTGTGCTTAGCTCTACAGCTTATTTACTCCTAAGAGAGATTTATATCTAATCCAACAAATGATCTTAAAATACATATTTACTCGTCGATCTCTATATAGAACTGAACTAAGAAAGCGTGTCTGAATTCCACAGGTAAACTCGGTTTCTTACCCAGTCGATAGTGTCCCTTCGCGATCTTTGTTCTCTCACATTATTAGATGGCTATTACATTTAGACAATGTTAAGTCGGGCAGTAAAATATTTCAAAATGGTAATCCTTTCAAACCGAATGCTATATGCTAGTGTAATATCCTCTCGGGCAGAGTGGACATTATCTACTATCTATATATAAAGCACAAACATATGTGTGTCTGTCTGTTTGTCTGTTATCTAACTACTCCTACATCGTCGGGCCAGTCTGAAACAAACTTTGTGGGGTGATAGTTTGGAACCAGGGGCGTATTTGTGAAAGGTTCACATTCCCCTTCACTCTATTACTGCTTTTATTAAGCATTTATTACATTTGACGTAAGTTAACATTAACTACATTCCTAATATCGAAAAAGGGCTCAGCATGACCAGGTGGCTAGGGAGCTGGACTCGCAATCTGCGGGTCGCGGGTTCGAATCCCCGTCCCACCAAACATGCTTACCTTTCAGCCGTTGGGGCGTTATAATGTGACGGCCAATCACCACTATTCGTTGGTAAAAGAGTAGCCCAAGAGTTGGCAGTGGGTGGTGAAGACTAGCTGCCTACCCTCTAGTCTTACACTGTTAAATTAGGGACGGCTAGCGCAGATAGCCTTCATGTAGCTTTGCGCGTAATTAAAAACAAACAAACAATACCGAAAAATAACACTTTACAAATTTTCTATAACACAACATACAAACAATGTGGAGAGAGAGCACACTGTGTGTATTATATATCTCTGAAAGAGTACACTAACACTTTCTATGGAGGAATGCAATGGTAAATATGGCCGCCACTATTGTAATAATACATAAACTCAGCTGAAGTTTCTACTGCAACAGCCATCATGAGGCTAATATGAAGAACCGTTTTTTGAGTTATACCAACTTTCTACTTTAACCCGTGACCTTTCAAC